CCGGTACCACAGTGAACATGTAGTATGACAGTTCGTCGTTCCAAACAAATTTAAAATTGTTAAAAACTAGATTTATGCCGTGTACTACGTGATGGTATGGTAACGTAGCGGGAAACGTTTCAAGTTCTTATGTTTTTCACCGCCGGCGGCAGCCGACTTGCAAGACGTCACCACCGCATCGAAAGGTAAGGCAAGTGCGGCGAAACGCACAGATTTGGATCCAGCTTTGGAGTGTTGGTGTCTTGGTGATCAAACAAGCAATGGTCAATAAAGATTCGTGAAAAAAAGACAATATTTCAATATTGATTTTATCGGTAACGAGGGGGGGGGTACTTGAATGTTGATGCACAGGTACGTAGCTTTAATGTTTTTAATACGAAATGCGCCGAACACTTCTTTAATAGCGCCCGCGCGATTGACCCAAGGGGAGCAAACAATCATACAGGTGGAGAACTGGGCGGAGTATTTGGGTGTTGAGGTGCTACCGAATTTAAAATTTGACACCGAAACCAATTAACACACTGGGATCAATGGGACTTTCGATTCCGAACAGGAGAAAGTGACAAGTTTGACTGCGTTTCAAGTAATCTATCGTTATATGATAGATGTTTTTGTCACAAAATCAAAGGAATAAACAGTGTGTTTATTAATTTGTACTCCGTAAAACTTATAAGTACAGTCTGTTCAGAGGAAAGAAAGACTTCCTTCTCGGGGTCCATGTTCTAGAAAGCTGTCCTCAGCGCTGCGCATGCCACGGCCCTCTCTGTGTTCTTCAGCTGTAGGTGTACTTTGCCTGTCGGCGGCCGGGCGGTAAGATTTCATCAAAGGCTACATTTTAAGTTAACTCCGCCCCTATCATTGTAGCTTGCCGAACAGTCGAGTAGGAGTACATCTAGATGGAATTGTCACGTCGTACTGACTGGTGTAGCCCGCTACAAAGTAATTTCCTGTGGCATTTATCAAGATTTAGAAAATATTTGTGATACGAAGTGAAACATGGTTAACAATTTCTGAACCTTTGAAACGACATGGGCATAATCTTTGTTGAAGATTCCTGAGTTGAACTCAAGCCGGAAGTGTATTGGAAATGGTGACCATCAGTCGAGGAACAACTGTTATGTTATCACGTTACGTTACGACGATCAAGAACGTTCACGGCTTGCGGACCATTTCAAATATTACCACTCATAAACCCTACAATTGTATGTGTACTTACGGGAGGTTATATTTTTGCCGGAGTTCCACTGAGATCGGCGCCGGCTAGCTGGGGAACGATCCCGTCGGCATGACAAAGTGCCGGGCGTCATTGCCAGAGACCTACATTTTCTTACCGTGGGTGACTTGACTTCTTCTTTTACCGCAACTTGGTGTCAATATCGACGATAGTCACAGGAAATATGTTCATTTATTGAAGTTTAACTTTATTTCCACTCGTCAATATTCTTATCTAAACATGCTATGGACGATCGATGTTCCAAGCTCCCCGTGCCGGTGTCCCGCTTTATTCCTGGGTCGTCCACGGATTTATCGGCGGAAAACTCAAATAAAGTACGCACCGCGACTTTGGCGACGGCCCGAGACACTTCTGGGATTTTGAAAAATGTAAAAAGTGCGTAATATATTCGGGAATTTACGGCGTATTTCTTGTAATTCGGTACTACGCGACGCCATATTTTACAAAAGTTTTTCGGTGGCCCTCCCCCCCAGGCCGATTTTTTTTTCGATGGCCCTCCCCCCGGCTCAAATTTTTTTCCCATGGCCCCTCCCCCCCAGGCCAAAAAATTTTTCAAT